AAGATCTGTTCAACTCTGGCACATTTCCAATCAGTCAAGCAAGTTGCGACATAACTGCTGATGTTTTAAAGATATTTGATTATGTTTCATACATTTTGCTCCAACAGGTCTAGTGATGAGCACATTTCACTTGTCTTTGCACTATTTCTCATATTAAAAAACACATTTATGTAGTCTTCTGTTCGCTCGCTATTTCTAAGATGAGACACTCTGATCTGTTCCTCAGTTCATACTCGCTCTTGGACAGGGATAAAAGTCATATGGAGGACACTGATCCATGAAACAACATCTGGCAGAGGACATGTATAGTGGCAGATTGTCTCACTTGTGACAGGTTCGATTAGAGCTTCTCTGCAGTCACTTAGTATCATAAAATCCACATTACAGAGTGTAATGATCTTCTGTGGAATAAGAGCAGTGACTGTCAGACATCAGACTGATCTCAGAGCTGTGACAGAGATCAAACTAGTCAGGCTCTTGAGTTTGTGAAATGAGAGAACAAACTGTCTGATGTATCCAGATGTGACAGTTTGATGAAATAGAATGGTACACTGTCTCCTGTTCTCTATTCAGTTGAGGCTGATTCGAGCTGTGAATCAGCGTTCGACTTCCTGTAGATCATCAAACTTGAATACAACACAATCAGTCGTCTTCACATCCACATCAGACTCATCATTGATTCACATTTACGAGCTATCCTAGACTGCTCTGTATTGGGCCGACGGGATGTTCTGCTGCCTAGGCGTCTACTTTGTCCTTTCTCCGTGTCGAATCCTGACGCCTGTCACACTCGCGCGTTCTTCCTCTCACAGCTTTCACTGGGGAAGCAGCTACTGAGAAAGGTCGGAGGTTGCATACTCTTCATGCCAGTTAAATCGGAAGGCGGGAGGTGAAGTTTACGGGGATGACGTTTGACGTGGCTCGCGTATGCACAAGTGAAACTGTGTGTTAGTAAGGGCGAGATACCGCAGCGGTCCAGATCTAGATGGCTTTATGCCCTCATATGACCACGGCTTCACAGAGTTTCACGATGCTGGGACGGACTTCCGGTTCGCCGTGGTTTAACTGCTCAGAGTTGCCAGGTACGTCTGGACTCTCCTCATAGCACTCACAGCGACAGACTGGTGAGTCCTATCACCATCTGGACGGGGCCTAGTCGGGTCTTGAGCACAGAGGGTTCTCTCGCCTTTGTAGGCAGAAGGTTTCCGCCCACAGAGCTCAGTTTCAGGTCGCGGAGGTGGTTGGATCGTTCCCAGAGCTGAGGCCCGAGAAGAAGCAGATGATCTCATGGACAAACTGCAGGCTCCACATCTGAATAAAGGTATATAAAAGAAGTCGAATAAGGAGCACAGATGATTTTAATGGAAGACTTTGGAAATGTTTAGCAGAACCTACTACTGCTCCTAACAATAATAATCATGACACATTTTATTTGTCGGCTTCTTTCCAAACCATTACAGACAGCTTTACAAAGCAACAGTATTTTGCTAGTTAATGGAGCGTGAAACAAATGTTGAAACCAACAGTGTGGTGCTTTTCTCTTCAACACAGTTCAAAAGTCTAAGTTCAAATGTTAGATACAAATAACAACAATGTTCAGCACTTGTGTTAAAGTTCATTTAATTCACGTTCAAAGAAAAGAGGAGTTTTTTCTTCATGACTTGAATTCAGTGTTTTTGTTGCAAATATTAGTTCTTGAGGATCTTCTGTATGTTGTTGTGATAAAAATGAATTGAACTTTAAGGACTACCATTGGACATTTTCTACAGTGTATTTAGAAAACATAGATCCTCTGACTGAGGAGAAATCCAGTTGTGTGAGTTCTGAAGGTTGAATCTGAAGTGAACAGAACTATTATTCATGACAACTGAGTGGAAATGAGCTGAAACTGAGGAAATCATTGTGAGAGAAGAACAAAGGCTGAAAACATAGAGACAACCACTATTTAAAATCTCAGTCATGACTTCATTCAAAAGATCATTTCAAGTTCTGTGTGAAGTAATCAGCTCAGTTGTGGGATTAAAGATATAATAGAGATCTACAAACAGAGTAACAGTCAGTGAACTGACCCAGAGTCTCCAGTCTACATCTGGACTCTCCAGAAAACCACACAGACGCCTTCACTCCTGAATCCTGCAGCTTGTTGTTAGTAGGTCCAGGTGTTTCAGGTGGGAAGGGGTCTGCGACTTCAGAGCTGAGGCCAGAAAGAACATCGCTGATCTCTGATCAATGCAGCTCTCAATCTGAATAAAGAATAAAGATGTGAGTTCAGAGACAAAGTTCCTTCTTGGAAGCGTTCAGTGTTTCATCATCTGTTCAGAGCTGAAGAAGCTTTAGAAAGTAGAAGTTTAGAAAATGAAAGTCAAACACCTGAACCAACAGGAAGCAGGTTAAAAACAGTCACATACAAAGAGTGAAAACAGCTTCATTAATATCAATGACAACATGCTGCTGCTTCAATACAGACGTAGTGACTCCACCTCTTAAACTCTAGCAGCTCCACCTGTGGCTCCATCTGTACAAACTCATGTTGAGCAGCCACATTTATTAGAGCTTCTACTTTCACTGAGCTCTTTCTGACTCAAACAGCTGATCTGCAGCGTGATACACTGAGGGTCATAGGTCAGCTTGTGCGTAGTAATATGGCAGTTTGATGCTTGAGAAAAGCTAGTTCCAAAGTTAAGGGCTGTTTGACAGCAACATCAAATGGGGAAAATATTCTTAATGATTTGAGCTTTTTTCCATGGGCATTTTTAAAGTGTCTCAGACAGTGTTTTTCTGCTGACCCCGCCCACAGCAGCTCATCACTCAGCTTCTGTGGCCGTGCTCTCGTCTGTTTCTCCAAACTGGGAGGGGCCCATCTGAATCTACTACAGCTAATACACTGACTATGTGTCAACACCTCACACAGCCCCACGTTCAATAACCTCAGCTGTCACTTTCAGCTGCTGTAACTCCTCCCCTCACCCAACCACAGAGGAAACACTCTCTGCCTGAGCTGCCATATAAACCAAACAACATTCAGCCCTTCTTGGTAATCCTCCAAACAAACCAGCTGAGCCTCTTCAGCTTCTTCATTTTAGCAGCAACAAGCCAAACACTTGTGTTTAAAGCATCATGAGTTCACACTACAAGCTCTGCTCTTACCTGTCTCTGCCTGTCTCACCTTTCTTCTAAGCCACAGTCATTGACAGGAAGTGGCTGCAGTGTCTGCCGTGTTCTTCACTGCCTGCTTTAGACTCAACCCTCTTAGACCCAGTTCAGGGAACAGGGACCAGACTTTATCTGCCAACAAACCCCCTCCAGCCCACCTCCACTGGACCGCAGGTTTCCAACCAGACTCCTCTGCCTCTGCTGCCAGCTCTGTGTATCTGAGCTGTTTCCTCTCATGCTTCTGTCAGCTCCACAACAAACACAAGCTGCTGTGTTTCTGACCACAACAACATCTGCTCTCAGGTCAGGGCTGCACTTTCATTTAACAAGGTTCTGAGTTCATTTTTAAAAACTGAGCACGTTCTCTACTGCTCTGAATCACTAACACTATGACTGCTCTCACATTCTTCTGTTTGGAGTCATTACAACACACAGTTTTTTCTCTTCACCAGCTTGTTGCTTAAAATCCTCAAAGAGAAATCCTCAAAATATATGAACCAATGAAAAACTGAGAGTTCACAAAACTACAACAGTCAGTGAACTCACCTCAGAGTCTCCAGTCTACAGTTTGGACTCTCCAGTCCAGCAGACAGAAGCTTCACTCCTGAATCCTGCAGCTTGTTTCCTCTCAGGTTCAGGTGTTTCAGGTGGGAGGGGTTGGACTTCAGAGCTGAGGCCAGAGAAGAACAGCTGATCTCTGACAAACTGCAGTCCCACAATCTGAATAAAGAACAAAAGAAGTGAATAAAACAGATGATTTAATGGAAGCCTTTGGAAGATGCTCGTCAGGAACTTCAAACACAGAAAAGATATGATGAATGAATGAATGAATTGACTTTAAGGACTCACACTGGACATTTTCTACAGTGTATTTAGAAAACATGAGTCCTCTGACTGAGAGAAATACCAGTGTGTGAGTTCTGAAGGTTGAACTGAAGTGAACAGACATTATTCATGACAACTGAGTGAAATGAGCTGAAACTGAAGAATCATTGTGAGAGAAGAACAACTGGAAACATGAGACAACCACTATTTAAAATCTCAGTCATGACTTCATTCAAAATCATTCAAGTTCTGTGTGAAGATAAATCAGCTTCAGTTGTGGATTAAAGATATAAGATCTACAACAGTAACAGTCAGTGAACTGACCCCAGAGTCTCCAGTCTACAGTCTGGACTCTCCAGAAAACCACACAGACCCTTCACTCCTGAATCCTGCAGCTTGTTGAAGCTCAGGTCCAGGTGTTTCAGGTGGGAGGGGTTGGACTTCAGAGCTGAGGCCAGAGAAGAACAGCTGATCTCTGACAAACTGCAGTCGATCAATCTGAACACCAAGCTTGTGTTCCAGAGGGTGGTGTGAGTTGAAAAGTAGATATTGGTCTGTGTGTGTGGGTTTTCTGTATACCCCAATGTGGAGGCTCGTGTCCTTTTCCATATGGACG